GAGGGCAGAGAATGCAAGCAACTGGATTCATGGGGCTACGTCAATAAGTGAGGATGAAAAAAACTAAGCAAGGAATATCGTGACTGGGCAGAAGGCAGGTCAGGTCTCACGGAGCAAAGTGCCCAGTGTGGGTCCCCTGCTTCTGAGAACAGCATGATGCTTCAAAGACAGCAGAAGCCTCAATCTTTTCAGAGCGCAAAGACACTTTTTCACCAAATGCTTAAGGACACCTTGGAACAAATATTTATAACAGCTATGAATCTGAGAAATACTCAAGTTATAAAACATCTACTAATAGTGCTTGAGCTGAAAGCAAAAAGCTGGAAGGATCAGAAAAAAGGGATATTCCTAATTTGGACTATGGAGGACAGCTGAAATAGAATAAAGACCATATGATGTGTTCATTGAGAAAATGCAAAATTTATAAGGCAGAAAGGAAAGTAAGGAGACTTTAAAGGAGGGAGACTTATTTTGTAGTTGCCTGTTTGCAAATCCTTTGTGGGGTTTGTTTTGTTCTTTATTATGTGCTGTTTCAGAGCATCTGATTTATATCTTGTAAATCCCACCTACTCACCTTCAAGAAAGGCCTAATAAATACTTGTATCCACTATAAAAGAGGAAACTCTGGTATTTTTCTTTAAACACAGTGATTTTGTTTTGAGTCAGGGTCTCACAACGTCACCCAGGCTAGAGTGCAGTGGCACAATCATAGCTCACTGCAGCCTCAACCTCTAGGACTCAGGTGAGCCTTCTGCCTCAGCTTCCCAAGTAGCTAGGACTACAGGTGCACACCACTACACCTTGCTAATTTTAAATTTTTTTTTGTAGAGAAAAGGTCTTGTTATGTCGCCTAGGCTAGTCTTGAACTCCTGGACTCAAGCAAACCTTGTGCCTCGGCCTACAGGCATGAGTCACCGCGCCCAGACCGAACACAGAGATCGTCACATGGTAGCTTAAATTAATAGATGTTCTGTCAATTGAATTTAAAATTTATTTTAGGAACACTGCTTTTAACTTATCATAATTTAGTATTCACTTGTATGCTGAATGAAAACTCCAAGTATTATTTTAGAAACTAAAAAAAAAACCAGACTTGAATTTGGATCCTAGATATACCTTAACCAGTTCTGTGACCCTGGGTCAGTTATTTAAGGTCTATAATTCTATTACAGCATCTGTAAAATGGGTATAATGATCCCTATTGCCTCCTAACTGGTTGTATGGATAAAATGAGTCATCGTTCTCTATGTAAGAGTCTAGCCAGCTCTTGGCACAGAGAAGGAACTGATTAAATGTGAGTTCTCGTCCCTTTCCCTAGTGCACCATAATGTAATGTGATATTTAGAATTTTAATTCAGGCAATTACTTAAGTAGTAATTGCTATTTGTATTTACATAGCTGCTTTGATCCAAGAAGCTCAAAGGGCTTTACTAAATTTAGCATTTTAATAAATGTTTCATTTGCATTCTGTTGATTCTGTTTACCCACACCAAAACTTGGAATTTCCTAAAGCGACACAGTCAGACAAGTTAAGGAAACAAGACATCTTCACGTTTCCCAGGCCCGGGTTTTGTCCATTTGCCTAAGAAATCAAGACCTCCTGCTCCTCTGGAATAAAATGACAGTAAGAGGTTCAAATGTGCCCACTTCCTGTCACAGCTCCCCTTTAGCTTCTGCCATTGAACTTGATCCCCGCCACGCTTCTCTCAGGCACTGACAACAGAGGTATGTTCATTGCACCGATGAATTTATATATAATCAGCACAATAAATATTATTAAATTGTCGGGAGAAAATCAAAGCACGAAGCATGGTGCCAGTACTGAATTCTAATGATGCTGAATGTCCATGATTGCACGGGGACAGGATCTTAACAAGCCTTGATTTGAACGTTGGCATCCGCTTCACAAATCACATGGGCCGCTCCTCCCGTAATAGTGCTGAATATTGATAAATGGCTCTACCCTGCACAACAGGGAAGTGGGTTTCTATTGGCAATCTTTACCAAAGTGTGTTTTTTCCCTTCTCTACACTCAAGGGTTTACCCTGAATGATTTAATTATAATTTTCCTTGTGTAAGACAAATTAAAGAGGAGAGTAGGAGTGTCGTGCCAAGCACATTATTTATCTCCTTAACAGATTGCAGCTCACCAAACCCCAGAGCTTGCTTGCTGCTGCTGCAGTGGCTGCTCATGGGAGCCAGCAACACGCATGGGGCAAGAGTGGGAAGAAGGAGTTTTCCATGTGGCATGGAAGGCTGCAACCCAGCTGAGATGATGAGCCATCTCGTTACTTTAAAAACAAACAAAAACTCACAATACTACCCTTTTCCAGCGCATTTTCTCACAGAGCACTCCCAGATCCTCTCGGCAAGAATTCTTAAAGCTGCTAACCCACAATCGAGTCTGTAAGGCTAAATTATTGTGTGTGGTAGGGGCTCTTTCTTGCTTCAGAAACTGCTCCATGAGCATGTAGGGAAAAGAATATTCCACCAATATCAAAGAAGAGCTTGCAAGGACGTAGATTTCACAGACGCACCGGTAAGGGATAAAACTTCTCCAAGTCAGTGATTAAAAACTCCTGAGACAGTTGGCAGCTCAGTGTACAAGTGAGAACATACTTTTCTAGTGACAGTTTTTTTTTTTTCTACTGGATATCGCACATGTGATTTTACAATTAACCACACATAATAAGATGCTGCCACATAATATTCACTTGAAAAACCTATATGTACACAAAGCTGCCTACCTAATCACTGATTTTTTTTAAATGACGAATTCTATAAGCTTAAAATTTTTGAATTATCTTAAGCCAAAGGTGCTCATTTGTCTTGTTAGCTACACTCAGTTAAAATGTGCTGACTAGAGTTTTCTTTTAATCCAGTCATGTTTAGGAACCTACCAGATAATATAAACTGAGAGATCTGGGAGATTAACCGGTAGCATATAATTTCATAGTTGCTTCCTTTCTGCATGCACAATTGGAAAACTCAGCCTGTTTAGACATCCAGATTAAGGCTCTTTGGAATCTAAGTTCTTTTCTGGTCTGTATTCTAATTTTGGCATGTAGTATAATGAAGATTAAGCACAACTTTTGTGCAGACAAATAAGGACCATTAAAAAAAATTCAAACAAACTTAGTCTCCTGGAATTAGACTGTCTCTTAGATCCATTTACTTTCGAATGTGCCTTAAGACATGAAAAGAGCTATTCTTCTCCCACTTGCCTCCTTGCTAATCTATCACCTGACTGCAGATATATAACCTTTTAGAATGAAACTGAGCACAGTGCATCTAAACAAGAAGAGTTTTCTATGTCACAGGAAATCTCTGCAGGCTCCACAACGGCCGACGAGATTGCAACAAATACCTTAAGTGCATCAGTCGGCATTTTTCAGTGTATGGCCTCCTGCTCTGCCTATGGATAAAGATGTAATTCAATCACTCTGCAGTAAATGGACACATCCACCTTACGACATCAAAAGCAAGTACAGCAAAGGACAATAGCCTAGAACCTTTTCTTTAATGCTACTGCTGCCTAAGATTTTCTATTTTGAAAAAAATAATCATAATAAAGACATTATAAGAGATGATAAAGCAAGAGCCAAGACTGGCTTCCAGACATACACAATTTCCCCTCACTAGAAACAACAGAACCCACATTTCGCCCAATAGCTCTAAACTGATTCTTAGTGTCCAACATTCTGTTCTTCAAACTCTTGTAAACCATTATGTTTAACATATCTTTTAGCTTGTCGATGTTTGTCACGGAAATTCCAAAATGATCTTGAAAGGACAGTTGCCAATTTTGCTTAAAACATATATATTACCCTCATCTCTAGTAACCACCCATGGCTTTTATGGCTGAATGTGAGATGTGTATTTTCCTGGTATAAAGATACACATCCAAATAAAACAGTAGGCTTCTTAATTCTCAATATTTTGATAAATACATGAAATTATATTTGTAATTGTGTAACTGAAATATGTATTTTAATTTTTTTCCACCGAGTCATTTGTATTTCAAAACAAAATAGAGAATTTACTTTTTCCTAATGGAAAGGCATTTACTATCACATACTACTTTAAAGATCTCTTCTGTGCGTGGAAGCTCTCTGCATATGAAATACATAGGGAATGGTTTAAAAATAGTAAACTGTAAAAAAGTTTTATATATTCTATTTTTGAAAAGCATTTCAACAGCAGTATTAATACAGCTGGGGGCTAAACTACAATAACATGAATTAACAGCTTTATTTTCTTAGAACGTCTAGGCTAACATGACATATTCCGGATCTGTAAACCAACCTCAGCTGTTTAAATTAACATTCATGTGCAGCTCAGGGCAATTCAAAAATAAAATGTCTTAGTTTTCGAATAGGAATGCAGCCATTGAGACAATGCTACCATCTATCCCATGATCAGGGGAACGTGTACGGTGTATGTTTGTGTGTGTCTATACAACAGAACCTCCCCCTTTCAACTCTCCATCCTTCAGACCTTCACTCAATGTCCACACGGAAAAGACTATGTGCTTTGGGGACACAATGATGAAAAGGATGGGCTCCCAGCCTTCAACGGGTGCAGTGTAATGTTAAATTCTGTGTTTTTTCAAACCACAATTCAAAACTGCCCACAGCAGATGCACTATTCCCTGAAAAGGTCTTAAAGCCAAGGCATTCAGCTTGTATGGAGTGAACACTTGGCAGAAGGAGTAGGCCTGGAAGCCTGGAAATCAAATCCATCCAATGAGAAACTATGTGACTTCAGCCTGGGTTCCTAAGCTAAGAGTAGATCCGACATAAGTGATAATTCCATGTTGAAAAGGTAAAAATAATGAGATGCTTCACACCCAAACCATACTGAACACAGGCTTAAGTAATTACATGCACATTTTAGCCACACGGATCCAATTAGGGATCACTGAGATATGGCGATGGAGGTCACCAAATCCCCCCTGTGTTCAAGACAGTTCTGGACACATCTCGGCAACTCATTCCTACCTTTCCCTTTTGGGAGTGTGGACTGAGAGCTGTCCATTGGTAGAGGCATGTGGGTTCATTATTAAGGAGGTCTTGGAAGGTGCAGAGGAAGAGACACATGTTGTGGTCAGATCCAAACTGCTGTGATTGTTGCCTGTGGTTTCTTCTGCAGTATGAGCACTTGTCACTTCTTTCCAGAGCTGCTGCAGTTCTGTTGGAATCATGCCTGAAACAAACAAATTGGATAATTAAATCAATTAACAGCTAATTCCATCCTCTTCAAACAGTAATTAAATCAAAGAGTCAGTAAACAAAGCCTAGTGTTAGGGGGGTTTTTCGGTGAGTGCAGCCTTTTTTCCCCTCCCAACTCAGGCAGACACTGTAGTAAAAAGTGTGTCCTCCCACTGAGCAACCAAGTAGAAGTGCCCTCATCGCACATAAAAGATGCCCACGAAAAGGATTCAAAACACAGTTACTTTGCAACAACAGTATGCCTCTGTCCATCCAAAGTGTTGTTTCTCAATTTTTGAAAAAAAAAAAAAACAGTAGACAGAAGTAATCTTATTTTTAGACAAAAAGGACTCTAAATAAATTTGTTCAACTATACTATTACGACAACATGAACCACAAAATGAATAATTTTTGTGCTTAAGTCTTAAATGATGACAAATAGCTTTGTTATTAAATATAGTTTTTATTAATCACTTTTAGACATAAATTATGAATTCATATCGTCTTCCTGAAATGCTTTTCAACTTTTAACAGTCAAATTGATTATACTATGATTATTTCATTAACACACCTATCTTCCTCATTAATTTTGGTTTCTAGTACCACATGCTTAATTGATGGATGTGTCTACTGAAAAACTGTATAACTTTTTATACAAGTAACACTATTATTACTGTCATTTCTTAGATCAATGGTAATGAACCATTGCAGAATAAAATGAAAATGTAAAATAAACTTGGAGTAATAAAAGTTCTCATTTTTTAAGGAGATCAGAATGGACATGGGTGTTAAGGAGTAAGTGTCAACCTGTATTTTCCCCTGAGAAGAGATATCATCATCAATATGGCAATCGCACTACTGTGAGCCTCTCAGTCTTTATCCTAGTGGCATGTCTCCACAGCCCAGGATTTCCAAAGCCCACCTCAATGCGGTTGCTAGTACATACATGCACATTAGAGAAATATTCTGAATGGCAACTAACAACAAATAACAGCAGCTTTCTTTGAAGGAGCACTGAAAAGAAATCGTCAACACTATATATCATAAGGCAATTCCACATTAGAATGGGATGTCTGGATTGCAGTTCATTGTTTCAATCAACTGTAACATAGCCATCCTAGAAAGGCTGCCATTTTCTGACTATATAGCAGCAGTCGAAACAGGCATGTTTCTTACCAAACCTAAGGTATTGAATTAAAAAAGAAGGCTGTGTGCATTATATTCATTTGAAACACATAATAAAAAATGCCAAGGTCTAAATTTAATTTATTTTTGTCATTTAGAATACAATGGATAGATAATCATCTCAACGTGATCAGCCAAACATCTTTACTTTGCTAAACTGTTAAAGATTTTAATTATGCTAGCATTGGAGAGCACTGGTCTAATGAGGCGATGGACTCCAGAGAATCCGAGTGGTTAAGAACTGTGAAATGAGTCTGATAGGATTTTTTTATATTCACCGTGGATCGTTTGCATATCAAAGAGGAGTAAATTATTGCACAGCAGACCAATAACCTTCCCCGCCTTTCTGAGAGGAGTGTTAACAAAAACAGTTGGTCTCTCCTAACGGTTCTCCACGAAAATGTTCAAATGCTCAAGTATTTGCAATTAATATATATTATAAAGGAGGCTTCCAATGATACATTAAGTGGTCAGAGATTCTTAGAAGGCATCCTCGACAGACAAGTCGGTTTTCTCTCCCTTCATAAAAATCAAATGCCAATTATATTTGGATGGATTTTGTCCCAAACGAGCATTTAGTTATTAGGCATATTCAATTATTACTTGTCCCCTGAAATTAAACCTCAGAGGCAAATTAAACAAAGGGAAAGGTCACTACACAGTCCTGTGTCCGGTTTTGCTGCATCTGGGCTATTATTTTCCAACACCTCTTGAAGTGACAGGTGGGATGTGTTTGTAGCTAGCAGGCCTGCCATTGATGTCGGCACACTAGCAATTACCTGTGAATATGGCTGACCCTCAGACCACTGTTTACTCAATTGAAACAATAGTGAATAGGCTTGTCTGTTGATGATAGCATATTGATATAAAACCACACAAGTCAACACCTATTTTTATTTGCTAGGGAGTAAACACATGAAAAGAATAAGCCGCCTATTTTTCAACTCAAACTAATTGATTTCTGGGTCAGTTGCATGGGAGGTGGGAAGACCAGAAGAACAGGGTTTTAACAAATGTGTTAACACTTTCCCTCCAAGAAAAGCAAAACTTTGAAGCTGTTTTCAGAGTAAGTTGTTTATCCAGCAAACAAAGACAAAGACAGATGTATATGCCACTTGTGACACCTACAAGCACACGTTACTCTCTTATTTTTCCCATCGGGCTGGCAAATCAGTTTCATCATCCACAGGGAGAAACAGTAAATAAAATGGTAACTCATTAAGTAACAACAGCAATACTTCTGGGTCAAACTGCAATGTGATAATTACATTTAAGAACATTCTCATCAGATTTAACAGAAAGGCAGTCAAATCACTCTCCTCCATCAATGCGACACCTTGTTAGTGATGTTAAACTGTTAGTTCAATGACTAATATCTACCAAAGGGTGCTGTTTTTTGACAGTCAAGATCTTATGATAGAATTAAGACAGATAAAAAGGTAAGCTAGTCACTCATTAGACTTAATGGATATCAAACTTCCAGAAAGCATACATTTCTTCCAAAATGGTAGAATAATAGAAACAAGTTAAACAAGTCTGCTTACAGGTACGTCACCTATAATTTTCTTATATCTAGGGATTACATTTTAAAACTGAAAAGGTCAGAATGATAATGAAAGAATATTTATATCTGAAATTACTGGTGCTAGGGAGGATCAGATGATTAAAAAGACAAGGGTGAAAAACAGATAAGCTAATTACATAAAACAGAGAGAAGACTGGAAAATAATCTGAAAAACAACAAAAACATCCCTCCATTTCATAATCTAAAACCTTCAGGAAAAAAAAAGGTCTTCAAAAATATTAACTCTCTATTCCTACACTTGTCATTCATATCCATGTTTAAGGTTAGCTGAGCAAGGACCATGAACAGGCATGTAAAAGAACCTTGATGATTTTATTATGAAGTGAGCATTACTAGTACTTTTAACAGATAACCCTGTGCCTTGTAACATTTCTTTTTCCAGGACAACTGGCCCCTTCATTATGAAAGAAAATGCAGGCACAGGTTTAAAAAATGTATGTTGTGGGGACAGTTGACAGATTACTGTTCATGGAACTCAATTTTACAACCCCAGGTATCACTGGCTCAAAGACAAACAGAGTTGATCAACCTTTTTTTGTCCTTGTACATCCATACCCAGGTGACCATGTTCAAGCAAGCAGAAAGTTGATTTAAACCTCATAATGACATCAGTTTTAAGCCATCATTTCTCTGATAAAAAAAAATTGTGTTGAGTCCAACATGACTGAATTCTCAAGCCACTTTGGGTGAGGGGGTAGAGGAGTCGATACCAACCTTTTGATTCACGAGAGATGGAAATGACACAGGTATTTCACTTTACTGCAAACACCTGGCTCCAGAAATATTTATATTTATACTGATGCCATCTTGGGCACATGTACAGGCACCTCTCAGATTTTAAATATGCTTTTTTCTAATGTTGCAGGGGCTGATAGTTATAGCACACTGCTAAACCTATCAATCAATGCCATGACTAGTGAATTACCTACCGGTGTCTCTGATATGTTACTGTAGAGATTATACTTCATGCATCACCACATTCATTTCTTTCACATTACACATGAGCTTGTCTTGTCACTGCCCAATTGCCCTCTTTTGGACAGCTTAACTGATGTACTATAACAATGAACCTTAGTGAGCAAACTTAATAGTATAGGAACGGTGGGAAAGATGAGAGGTTGGAGCTCAAGTCCAGTAGGTGTGTCAGATAGCCTGCCATGTTTCCAATAAGAAACCCCAATGTGTAATTAATGCATGCTATTACGCTTTCCAAGCACAGAAGTACATTAGCTGGTATGTATATCTTTTCCTTTTCCCTTGTATTGATCAGTTACCAAATCTCCTATTTTGACAGCAATGGAGATGCTAAATATGTATCAAGCAGTTGAGCAGTCATGGTAGAAGCGTGGGGGACAGGAGAAAAATTAAAGGAGAAAAAAGCCACGATGTCAACATTAAAAACAAAAACAAAAAAACCTCATAAGAGACAGAAGTTGGATGGGGCTGACTCAAAAGAAAAGATTCAGACGAAGACTTCACTTGCTATCAAAAGGTACCGAACAAACGACCATGGCTTAAGCAACATGAAGGAGGTTCCATATTTTCAACCTTCTTCAAAGACAATTGAATCTAAGACATCAATGGTTTTAGCTGCTAGCCTTTAGGCACATATGCACACACATTCAAATTTACTTGAGTTGAATGGACTGCTGGTCTTGAGCAGACAACTGAAATCTGCTCTACCAAATATGGGATAGGGGAATTATATTTTGAAACACAAGCATGGTACTTTCTCCTTCTTTCCTTCCTTCCTCCTTCCCTCCCCCTCCCCTCTCTCCTTCCTAGTTCTGAATAATCCATTTGCTTTCACATTACATATGTGAAAGTCAGAGTTGCTTAAACCAAGAGTATGTCCTAAAAAGACCTAGAGTTTCCATTTATTTCTGATGTCCAACACTTCTGAGATATGATGTCAGTGGTTTAAAAAAAATCATTAAATCCATGAACTCTTGTTACTTTTCTTTTTTTGAATTAGGGTTTCACTCTATCACCCAGGCTGGAGTGCAGTGGCACGCTCACGGCCACCACAGTCTCGACCTGCTGGGCTCAGGTGATCCTTCCACCACAGTTTTCCAAGTAACTGGAACAACAGGCATGCGCCACCACACCCGGTTAATTTCTTGACTTACTGTGGTCACACCCTGCTGTGGTCTCACTCTGCTGCTCAGGCTGCTCTTGAACCCTGAGCTCAGGCAATCCTCTCTCCTTTGCCACCCAAAGTGCTAGGATTACAGACGTGAGCCACTACACCTGGCAGGAAATCTTGTCACTTTTCAAGGAATCTCAGTTTTTAAAGAAATGAACATGGAAATGGTACCTGTTCTGATGAGTGTAGAACTAATTTGTTAAAAAATCAGCAGACAAATGCAAAAAGAAAGAAAACAAGAAAAGAAAGGAAGCCAAACAAAAAATCTTGGCTTTTGCAACAGAAAGAGGTTGATCTTAATCATTTACAGAAAAATAAATTGGAATTTATCCCTAGATATTAGAAAGTGCCATTTATAAAGCGTTACTAATATTTAAAATAGGACAAGTTACGTGACATAAAAAATGTCTTAAAATGACTAATAAAAGTCTTCAAGAAAATTTCGTTGTGGTTCCAAATGGAAACGCTAGAAGAGTCCATTAACATGCTCAATAAGGGCAAAGATGTGCAACATTGGGATCACTCTGCTACTGCGAACTCTGCAGACCGCCTTATCTTCCTTCTGGCATCAACTTCTATAAGGGCCCATCAGTATCCCGCCCAGCCTTTAATTTAAAGTTTCTCTTTGCATGTTTTAGATAAACAACATCCTTAATGATAAGCTGTTAATATACTGAGAGACAGTCCACCACCTTTGCCCAAAGTCTTCACAGAACTGAGTCTTCTGTATAATCAATGCATACCTTGAGCAAGAGGTTGAAGGGGAAGGGCAGGCTGCCCGGGCTGAATTGTCAGAAGGCCTTGGCGCTGCAAAGACAGGAGGTGCTGCTGCTGTAACTGCTGCATCTGTAAAAGCTGTTGCTGAAACGCCAGCTGCTGGGTAGCCACCTGCTGTTGCTGTAAGAAATCAAGAAGACAAAAATGAGATGGCCACTGCCCAAGGAAGGCTAAAAGTATGGGTGCTTCAAAACTCACCGTTATTGTCAAAAGCAGAGAACGGTCACTAGAGCTCAGTGGAGGGCTCAATGTCAAGTTTTAAAAGGGACAGAACATACCACCTCAGAAAAGGAGTGAGAGGGAGTATGTTACCTTTCCACTGCCTGCTTCCATTTAAGAAAAAAAAATGTTGTCCCTTAAGCCAGCTTTCCCTACAGTTTGAAAAGCCTGAGTTTTGTAGTCAAGATATGAACTTTCAGACTTTGAAATTTTTAATTATGCACACTAGAAAGAACACTGTATCACTCTAGTCCTAAGGGATTTGAACCCTGAACCTTTGAGGTGTAGAAGAACAAGTTGCCTCTCTCCCTCCCTGAGCCGGCAGAAGCTTTTAACTACTTTGTTTATCACTTCTGACATAAATAAATGAGAAAAAATCAGACCTTTGAAGAAGAAAAACTTCATCTAATATTGTTAATTAGCCATGACAAACGATGAAATAACATTGTAAATCTTTCATAGAAACAGCCACTAGATTTTAATTACACACATTCATAATTTAGCAAACAACATCGTACTCAACTGTGAGTTTAATATGAACGACAGTCTAAGCTTCAGATGCCTTAACTTGGCTTTAGTCTCAAAAACCCCCAGGTTTGGTTGCTTGTCCTGCTTCCCCCACCTGCTTTGTTCTTGAAAAGAAGGGGCTTTACGATATGATAAATATCTTTTTGTTGATTGGACAATGACAGGGGGAAAACTTTTGTTGTGTAAAACATCAATACATCATTCCTGTGTTTAGCAGGCATTGCTCCAGCCAAAAAAATTAATGTAGATTTCCTCAGTAATTATCTGAGTGATAGAAAGATAATACAGTGCAGTAGTACAATAAATAGAAGGAAATTATCTAATATCCTTAATCTGCTAGGAATCATATCGAGGTGGAGGTCTTAGCCACATTATGGCTAACAATTATAAAAGGAAAATTAACCCTTCCTAAACTGTAGCCAGAGGGGAGAGAGAGGGAGACAGAGACAGAGAGAGAGAGACAGAGAGAGAGAGAGAGAGAGAACACACAAGATCAGAGTTTCCTGATTCTGAGTATTATCCAAAAGATCAGGGAGACTTTTCCAATTTTCCAACTAAAAGGACTATCTAGCCCTTTCAGAGCTTGCATGTTCTGGTTAATAACTATACTTTACAAACAACTGCATTCACTTAACCCAACACATGACCTTGATCTGATACATCCATAAAATGGTATGTATATCAAGCCCTTCTGATGCAAAGTTCAAAGAAAGAGAAAAATGGTGGTTTCCTTTCGGTCTCCATGTAGTTTATTTTACAGTAAAAACCATCATTCTCATATTAGCAACCAATTTCAGACTTACTACCATGCCACTGAGAAAGTTAATTGAGTTTCACTCCAAAAAACAAATTCTATACCACTAACAACAAAAATTTAAATAAATTTAAATGAAAAGCCAGTGTTTTCATTTTAAGAACAGCATGCATAAAATGATCCAATTGTTTTCACCCCTTCCCAAGTTATCACATTAATGTAAAACCCAATGATAGTTATATTCATGTCAAAATGATTTTTTCACTTCTTCAACAGATATTAACTCACAACATTTTTTTAAAAAAGGGAAGGAAGAGAAAAAAACAGTGACACAATAAAAGATCAGGGAATTAGCTCTACTTAAAGTAGAATATGATGGGGGGGCGGCAGGAGGCTGGGAGGGTGTTTCCTGTCTTACTGTAAGTGAAATGTTTAAAAATTTTGTATTTATATAAAATGACTGATGCCTTTTCTGTTGTCTCTGTGGCCATCCCTAGGAAAAGCTCATGAAAGCTGTCCACGTTTGAAAAGCCAGGATATAAAAGTATACAAGGCCCATTGTCCAAAGAAAGAATTTAAAAGCAACACTGGTTGCCAAACTGAGCTCCCCACCCAGTTACCAAACACAGGATACGAGTCCGTTTGTTTACTTCTCACAATTGAATGCATACAAAAAAGGTCTCCGTGCAGTCCCCTCAACAGGTCAGTAGTCAGTGTTAAAATGCTCAAATGCCCTGATAAACCTCGCATTTCGGATCCCCTCCCTAGAGCTGCAGTCAAAGGTCTGTTTTCCTTTCTTCGGCTACTCCCTACTGCCTAACATAAACTGTCATAACTGCCCAGGACAAACGGCCCTTTTAAAACAATCAACTGAGCCTACCTCACCCGAACAGGATGGGACCTTTTTTTGTAGCTTGATTCAAAATGAATTCTGCGATCCATTTTCCACACCACCTCTGTCAAATATTAACAAGCAATCACTTCAATAGCTGTATTGGGGATACATCTTCCTTCTTCCTCCCCGAGTAACTATCTTCTAAGGAAGGTCTTCGGTCTAAACCAATGTGGACCTAAGCTTTCGTGGGAAAACATCTCGAGGTAACTTTAGGGGGAAAGAAGGAGCAAAGGTGCATTGTTCTGGCCAAAGATCAAGTGTCTCACTGCAAGGTGATCAAAAAAGGAGAAAAAAGAGTTAGGGGAGGCTGACAATACAAAATTATGAGCCACTAATGCCTGGGGGGAGTCAGTAAATTAAATACTTGTTCCATCCATCAACATCCAAGTCTAAACTCTGCTCAAATCATAGCCACTAGTATACATCATGGGATTGCTACCACATGACTTTACATGATTTGAGCACAAAAGCACCACCACCTGCATGGTAATTTCAGGAAAGTAGCCCCATATCTCAGGAAAATGAGGATCTTCTAACAGGTCTCAGCCAGATCTATCGGCACCATGAACACAGTGAAATTTAAGGAAACCTGTCCATTGGTTTGCCTACTCTAAGGATATTCTGGGTGACCTATCTCCGGGGTCACTCTGCCATGACAAAGCATAGACCACAGCAAACCTAGTGTCCTGGAGGTGCAAAAATGCTACTACAATATCTCAAAATCTCTTGTCAGGCATAGAATGTTCTCTTTCTGCCCCTACTTCCTTCCCAAACTCAGACACCACCATCTTTGTGCTCTGAGATGCTCCCTTTTCTGACAACAGCAATTTGGGAGAGGTAACTTTTATCCTTCTTTCTGCTGTGTAACTTTCCCCTTCACATTTCTTTATCTGCCCTCTGAGCTCATCTGAACTTTCATGTTCTCTCAGCAAGCAGACGTGCATTCCAAACTATGTCTAACAGACCAAATAAGAGGTTAATAAGAAGTGGCAACAGAAAGGAAAAACACAATCCCTGGTAACTGATAAGAATGACAGTGGCAGCCCTTTTTTGTTTGTCTTCAAATATAGAGTTAAAGATCTTTAAAAAACTAAATTTTGATGCCTTTGAAAAGAAAGAAGCACAAAATAACAACAGGGGGTTATTGCCTGCAAGCCACAGGGGAGAAACTCCATAATTCTTATTCTCCCTTTTGAAGGCTGTTAGAAATCTGATTCAAAAAAGCAACAGCAGAAGGGGAAACCTCTTGAGGCTGTAACCATTTCCTGTGATCATGCATAATGTGCTTCAAAAGTGGGTTTTTACCAATTCTGTTGATCAATTGCACCTCCTTCATACCCCTTCTTTTTTCTGCTGTGTTTACATCTGATGTGACTCAATGACAAGCACTGTCTGAGACTGTGAAACAGGCCTGTCATGTTGATTTATGGGCGCATCAAACCACAACTTGTCCAAACTGAAGCTCGCAGTTCATTAATTAGAGAGTTGTGACTTTGAAGTCAGCTTTCAGACTGTGGTTTTTAACATTTGGCTTAATTTATATGCTCTTGAATGTGGATCTCTAAGGAAAAAACTGAAATTCCCTTCTTGTCTTTGAACTTCTTTTGACCGCACAATAATCATTTCTTTGTCCAGAGTGATGCCTGCAATCCCAGAGTCATTAACGCGCATTGAACTGCCACTGATGAGTAAGCCCTGCTGAATTAGAAAAACAGCCAGCAAAACAAAGCTGAGAGCCTTCTGCACAGTGATATCTCACAATTACATGCCTTCCCTCCCTGTGCCATTTCCATTTTAATTACTGTTAGTCCTTTAGATTTACATTTTAGACACTTTTTAATCTGTTCCCTTTTTTATTATAGCAGCACCCGGTAGCGCGCCACTGTACTTAAGGCTGTGTCAGCATTTTCATTAAAACACCTTCTCCCCTTCACCCCAAAACTGCCCCTGCTCTGCAGGGGTTTGCATCCGGGCTGCCAAACGGGACTCCAGGGTGAAAACTTGGCAGGGCATGGAAAATGTACCCAATTTGTGTCGAGGGAGGAGCCAGCAAAGGGAGAAGGTCTGGGTCACTCCCGGTGTGTAAAATTAGCGCTGCCTGGCATCCCCACTTGCGTGAGGGAGGGACAGGGACGTGGAGGATCACCTGGTAAGACTCCTTTCAAAGAGCAAAAGTGCTCAACTGCCTAGGGCCGGCGAAGAAGCTGTTAGAGTAGATGATGTGCTGTTTATAGAATCATAAACTGCGTCATCCTAAAGAGAACACTCAAACAAAATAATTTCAGTCCACCCTAAAGATAAGAGGTGGCAAGTTGGATTGGATAGATAGCTCTGGAATGGGTAGAAAGATGTCATAATAGTGCACACATGCACATAGATACTGCCACAACTGTCTGAGCCTCACTCACAGAGAACCAAACAGTAGGTGAAATGGTGACTCCCTGGAAAGGTCTTGCCATCTATGGGACAAGTGCTGTCAAACTAAACGGGTGGTGTGGCATAATGCAATTTCCTACGGACACTACAAGGCATCGTGCATATAGAGGCTATTGTAACATACTATTTTTTTTCTTCCTCAGGAAAACACAAATAATCCAAGCTGGAGTCTTCTCTAACTTTAACTCATGCTATCTGGTATATTCCTTTAGCAATTACGATATGTACAACTTGCAGGAAGAAGTTAAACAAAGATGGGGATGTTTAATCTTGTTCTAACTATTTTGTTTGTTTATCCAACCTTCTTCCAATGGAAAAGGCCATCAACACACACCCAAACCCTCTGAGCTGGGAAAAAAAAAATTAAGTGTGCGTCCAAGTAAAATTTCACTGAAAGCATTTCACTTCCCCCGGCCACATCCTGGCCCTCGGTTGTACCAGGTTGCAAAAGTAGCCCTGAAGGCTCCGTCCACAATCCCTTCTCCCGATCCTCACGCAGGTACACGTGTGGTGGTGTTATAAAATATGTGGCAGCAAGCAAATGGAACCCAGAAAAATCTGAGCGAAAACAGGACAATAACTCTCGGTCTGAAAGCTGAGAACCGATAGAGTCAGCTCAGTTGTGCAATCATTTAAAAGATGAATGACAGTTTAATAGCCACTAGATAGTCCTCTGGGATCTGTGGTTTGAAAGTAAAATATGTATTGTCGGTACCTCTTTAGGCTGTTTTCCAGCATGTTGTTGTTGTAAAAGTTGAAGCTGCAACTGTTCCTGTTGTTTTTTATAAAACTCTTGAAGCTGCTGCTACAAAGGAAAGAGAGGACGGTAAGTAATAGGGTAGCGCCAATCCAAGTCCCTTCTGGTGCCATATACAAACTGTGATTTGAAAAATAGCATCCTTTTATCTGTAATGGCCTGACCTTTAGTTTGAAACTCGACAATAAATTCAGCGCACACCGACTATTCTTGGCATTATTGTTTGAAAAGTAATCTCCAAAATGAACTGATGAAAAACATACCATTTTCTACACAAACTAATTAAAATAAGGCAAGCAATGACCTTTGGACAACAAAGCTGAAATGCCCATGCTGAAAGAGTCTGGTGAATCTCTACCGTGTGTTTTTAAATGGTGGGGATGGGCACTGTGGAGAGTGGTTTGGTAGGCACATCAGCAATGCGGGGGGTTTCCTTTGCATCCCGTTCCCACCACCCCAGGCCAGTAACTCCCACTATCACAGTGCCGGATATCATCTCTTTGGTTCTGGTGCCCATTAAGTCTGAATATTAGGTCCCTGTGGCACAATGACAGCCCGAAGTTCATTTCAGCATCAGCATACATGGAAGAAGTAAAATCAACTCTGCACCCTAAAATGAGGCAACTCCAAAATGCTTCTTTACGTTAAAAAAAAATCCTATAAAGCTTCTCAGTTGAAATGGGGACTTCAAGGGCTGTCATATTTAAACCTGCTCCCAACGTGCTCCTCGTTTTGCTTTGATTCACACCGTTTAGGAGACTCTGGGCTTACCAAATAAAAGAGTGGAAAGCCACGGAAGCCTAAAAGATCTTATTTCTACCAACTCCAATTACAGCTTTAATCTCAGTCTGTCGGGTACTCTCTAGGCCCAAACCCTAGTCACTGCAGCTGAGCTCCTCTCTTTCGGGAACCCCAAAGCAATCGATTATTCGGGGACTGGTCTGCGTTCTGCCCCGCCCACCCGGCTCTGCTTATTTCTCACCGAGTAAAGGAGCTGCTCGGGTAGATGGGAACTGGGAATGGTGGGAAGGGCCCTGGGCTCTCGGGGAGGCTGAGGAAGAGGAAGGACAATTACCTGTTGAAGCATGAGGGCCTGCTGCTGCTGGAGGAGAACTTGTAGCTGCTGAGGGCTCAGCACTTGTTGCTGAAGGATCTGCTGCATTTGCTGGGGAGTGATAACTTGAGGTGTCATCATAGCCACTGACACGGGAACCTAGAATGTTAACAAAGGATAAATAGGAAGCCAGGAAATCACAAGCACGCCGCCTCGCAGGTTCAGCGGCAGGCTGCCATCAGCCTGCTTGAGGAATGGACCAGTTTCCCACGTGCTGTGTATTTATTCAGAGGGGATGCAGCAACAATCCCATTTAATCTGTTATGGAGTGAGTTTTAAATAACGAACAATAAAAGAAAACCTCACAGCACTGACAGGGGTTCCAGGCAGCCTTGCAAGTGGACAAGGAGGAACAACTTGATAAACCCTAACAGGAGTCTGGATACAACACTCTCAATTGCTTATTAGGAATGAGTCTTCACCCAAAACGAGTGTCAGGAAGTTAACCCAAACTTGAATTTTGTTTTAGGGAAGAAGACGAAAGGGAACCAATACCTTTGTAGCTAGAGCTTATATGACCTACTTCCTCTGTGGACAGTGATTTTAAGAGCAATCAGTAAAAATGCTCAGTCTTGTGGGTAACAGAAGCTTGGACATACCTTCCGAACTTAAACATGGACCCTTGCTATGATGCCTTTTACCCTTTCTTATTTACCCACCATACAGACGTTTCGGTTCTTTCATATTATGTGAAATACCATTAAAAGCCGCTTTCCATGACATTTCAGTGACAAACAGCTACAGTGATGAACTTGATAGCATTTCATATTTGCAACTGTTAACACGTTTCTGCACGGGCATCTTTGCAAGGAACCTGCACACTGTATCTGAAAGGATGATGTCTTGTTCAGATAAAACACTGACATTAAAATGACAGGCTGTCTTGGCCAAGGTTACACAAATTGTATTCAAGCGGATACCTAATGACAATGCTATGAATTCTGCAAGCTTTCTAGAATGTAATTTAGCTATTCAAAATAATCACTGCACTTGTGTTTAATTTGCAGACTACATGAGAACCATTTTGTCAGTCCCCGTAATGCAAGAAGACTATTTCATGAAAAATCACCCCCCCAAATAAAAAGATAAGGAAAGAAAAAACAATGAAAGAAAAGACAAAACCTGCATGTCTTCTAACAGTAATATTTAAGCATCTTACTTTTCTTTGGTTTCTAATCAAACATGTGACAGCAAGAAGCTAGAAGCAGTAAAGGATATACTTTGTTAAAAAGGATCTGCTGTCATCTCATGTATTACAATAAAAGGTAATAACATGTTTTGCACTTTGCCTGTGTGCCACTTAAAAAAAAAATCCAGCAGACAATAGCTGATCAGAAGATAAAAGAATTAAAAAATCTTTCAGGGGAGCAGTAAGCAAAAGGCAGAAATGCAGTATTAATTTTATGTAACATAATGTCTTAATATGCAGTTTATCTTGACTTTTCACATGATTTGTCCTGTCATTTGCATAGCGAGCTCTCATTCCTAATTTCACAGTCATTATGCACTGATGTCCCGATTTCTCAGCATCACTAATTTTGATGAACTAAAAATGGTTCCTGAAGGTCAGATTCATGTACAGTGAACGTTCTCCACTGTTGTTGTAGGCGTGTTTCGTGTATGCGGATGTTGATGTGCAAGTTTTGCATGTTTAGAAAACACTAGCTAGAACATTCGAAAAAATTTCATTAACCCAACTCTGGAAGGTCATCCATGAATTCTTCCTATTGCAGGGGCCTTTTAAGTACAGACGTAGATACACTGTAATTTAAAACAGATGGGCATGTCTGAATATTTTTATATGCAAAAGGGGACAGATGTATATGAATGGATAAATTATCCCTTTAAAAAGATAATTTGCAGCACGAAATATCACCAATGATTGGAACAGTGAACTTGCATGCAGTCTAGGGCAAACACCAAGAAGACATTATCAAAACATCTAACCATCTACAAATTAATTCCAGTTAGTCTACTTTGCCTTCATACAGAAGAAACTTTTTGAATTTTTAAATGTGTACTGGGTGCCAATCACCATCCTTTGAGCTGCTAAAGCCAGCATATCACAATAGAAGTTTACTTTTCCTTGAGAGTTGCATCATCATACAGGGAGGTTGATTAAGCAAACAAAAGAACCATGTTTAAGGTTTCTTTTTTCCTCTGCATTTCTTGGATGATGTACAACATAAATATTCTTGAGCCAAATTTCTGATGGTGATGAACAGGAAAACAGACAGGAATAGGGTGGTGTAAAACCTAAACTGATGATGAACATGAACTTCACAGAGTTAGAATAGAAATCATCACAGAATAATCTCCTGGTCATCAGTTTTAAAGAGCAATAGAAATCCTATGCTACAAAGGGGCACTGGTAAACTTTTAGGGTGATGGAAATGCTCTGTATCTGGACTGGGGTGGTGGTCATACTCATGCATACGATTGTCAAAGTTCTTCCAACTATATTCTTAAAATGAGTATGTTTTAGAGTATGTAAATTATACCTCAATGAAATTTATTTTAAATGTAAAAATATATATAATCCTAAAATAGATTTTTTTAAACTCTGATAAAATTATATATATCTTCTTAAATGGGGAACACTGTCCTTTGACTGTCAACAAAAAATGGGAGAGTCAGCAAAAGGACTGATATATACCTGTACAGATAATTTTTAGATGCTTACATGCCGCTAATGGTTTAAATCTTCTTGTCAATAGTTATTTATTCATTTCTTGCCGGTATGTTACAAAACAGGATAATGAACTTGAGTCTCCCCTTCTTTTTCCTTTTGGACATTTTGAAGGAGGTGCTGATGAGTAATAGCATGCTTAAAGCAGTAGGCACAGCCAAAAGAAGAACAGAAGCAAGAAGCCTGAGTAATCCTCCAAACGGGCTTATCGGTCTCTGAATAATCAGAAGTGGGCTATTATATCCTGATGGCCTTAACTTTGCTTTTACTATCTGAAACTACATTTTCATACTAGTTAGCTCTGGACCTCCGAAGTGGGCTCAGGCTTAATTTATAAATGTAATAAAACTGAGATTTCCCCAAAGTTTTTGCTCCAATATGTCATGAAAAGGGGCTATGGAAAGTTTTAACAAACATATTCAAATGGACCAGAAACCATGGTGGGATAGAAAAGAGAAGCAAAAAATAAAAAAAAAACAAAACAAAAACCCCAAACCAAACCAAACCAAAAAAACACAAAAAAACCCTGAGCACAGTTTAAGGCTTTAAATAGTTAAGAATTATAGCCTATATATCCACTCCCTTAATTCCCAGTGTCCAACTTTTTCATGTAGCTAGTCCCTACTAATACTAGGAATCAAAGGGCATGCAGTACCAGCGAGAGGCTATTATAGCCCACACTTTATTGCCCATTACTACTGAGGTCATTAGCGGCAAGAGTGATTGTAACAGTCTTAACCTATTGATCACTGTAACTACTATCATTTAATCCTGTGTTGAATGTCTGGAAAGCGGCTAAAGGCACACAAGAGAGAGTGCTTTAGCATTGAGAAATATGGCCAAAGCTTAGAAATTACACTTTGATTCATAAAATCTAGCCAGTGGTTTAAATCAATAGTATTTAAAACAGTCATGTGAGTTTTTAACTACAGCACTCTAATATTTATGGGCCCCTCTTTGAGAGTATTCAGTAAAAATGAAACGTCCACTCCCCCCCCGCCCCCAGATCCCATGTTACCATCTACCTTAAGCTCCTTGAGATACAAACATTCATTCCTGATGTTCTGGAGTGCTACAGGGTCCATGCTTTAACTGGGAGTTCAAGCTCATTCTTGATTTCTTTCTCAAAAGATGATTTAAATATAAGGACATATATATCTATATATCTCTCTCTATATATATCTCCCTGATACTGTAACTACCTTAACTGTTTGAGTGTATAGAAATGAGTATGTTTTATGAGTTAACAATGAATCATAGAAGGCAATTTATGAAGAACTAGAATGATTCTGTCTAGCTGCCTTCAGGGATCAGAAATTCAAATTAAACTTCTGGCAGACATTTAAAGAATGCTAGCATACAAAACTGAATTTAAAACACACACACACAGAGTTAACACTCCTTAGTTGAGTTTCAAGAGGAAATCATGAATTAAAAAAATACACGGCATGATACACTGTTGACTGATACCAACTGGGTGTGGCCGATCCCAGGTGCACACAAACCTGCGGGAATGGCAGAAATACAGCTGTGCCTGGGCCATCGGAACGCTGCTAGTATGGGCCTGCTGCCGCCTTAATACCAGCAACTGGGAAAATGTCGTTAGCACTAACAACTGCTGTTAAAAGCCCATACACTGCTGTGTAAATTCTGCCTGGCATGGTTTTCTTTTTCTTCAAAATGACTCTATATCATCTGAATGCTTGAAGACCATTCAAATAATATGCCTTATTATTTTCTTTAATGCCCAAAGGTAGATGATGGGAAGGGAAAAATCTAAAAAGCAAACAAACAAATAAAAACACTCATAGAAACAATACTTATTTCTAATCTAGGAGACAATTGAAGGAATTGGGTGGGAGGAGAGAAGACACAATACAAAAACTGAAAATAACACGTTATCTTTTTTCTTTCTTTTTAGATTACGCTCAAGTTAACTACAAGTAAACACTGCCCAGTATATACACATGTAAATTTTGCACGTCAGTATCGTCTCATAATTGCTATGTGTACAAATAATAAAAATGAGAAGATTAAAAAATGCTAAATACTGTTTTCTCCCCCTCATAGCTGGTTAATAATTTAGAAATTTTTAACCTCTGAGCATTCACCACATGTATGTCCTAGGAAACTCACTTCCCCTCTAGACTTCAGGCTGTGGTTGGGTGACAACTGACCAGGTTAGGCAGTGTGAGCTAGTTAATCAAATAACAAGAGCAAAACAAATTAAATTAGAAGGATCCAGAATGTCAAAACAAAACTAAGCAGAGAATATGGCTCTATTAAAAAAAAAAAAAAAAAAAAAAACCAAAAAAACTATGCCAAGCTTTTTATGACCAATATAGAAGCTGGCCTGTGTAAAAGAAAATTAAATACCATCACCTCTGGCCCCCTGTGAAAAACAACAGTT